GCCCAGGGTGTCGTCATGAATTTTTTTTTTTGGACCAAAAGTCCAAGACAATTTACATCGATGCAACAATGGGAAAGCATCAGATTATCATAATTGAGAAGCTGCAACCATAAAATGTTTGTTTTTGTACTTAAACAATCACATATCAAAAGCTGGTCATGCATTTTTTTTTTGCTGATGAGTTAATGGACTATTTGTTGTAGCTCTAGTCAAGTTGTTAGTGTTGGTTTTTTTCTGCCCAACTTCTGAAAAGTAATTTGGAATCTGCACATCCCCAACAACTTTCCAACAAGATTTCTTGCTAAAGTGTTTAATCCATTGTTAGTCATTCTACGGTGAAGAGGAGCACAGGAGTCATTTGCCGGTTCACTGTTCTTGCCTACAACATGAACGGATGTTCAGGGTTTGTCTCACTTTGTGTGTGGTGCCAGCCCTGGTTAGGTGTCTGCAGAAATGTGGCTCTTCTCCCTAAGTCTGTTGTTCAGTCAGTGGAGGGATTACTGTGGTTTTGTAATTCCCGATGAGTTAATCTGCTGAGTTTTTAGGTATTTGAGCAGTGAGTTAAGGGATGAGAGTAATCTTGGGGAGACACTTTGGGGAGTCATCGGGGGAGTTACTGTAAGTCTCGCCTCGTTGAGGGATCGTCAGTGGAGAGAACTGATAGTGGTGGGCAGAGAGTCGAGCGCAGACCAGAGGCAGCAGGAGAAGAAATCTGGTGGATGGGGTTGGATTTGAGGTGTAGAAGAGATAAAGCCCCAAGTAGTCTGAATGTTGGTTTGGGGAAGAAGGGGGCGCTAAGATCAGGCACATAGAGGGCTGGGATTAGGAGGCAAAATGGGCATTAAAAATGCAACAGCCCAAGTGACATTTAATTTGGTAGTCACATTTTTTACAGGCTGGGAGACGGTTATCTTTGGAAAGAGATTCACTTCTGAAGCTAATGAAGTGTTCAATTTTCACACCCATTTTGTTCAGAGATAAATTATTAAACATGGTCTTGGCAAAAAGGAGAAATTAATGAGTAAATGTGACCTTTTAAATTGATAACATTTTTTGTAGCTGATGGGAGGGGGATGAGGGAAACTCACTGCCCTAGGTAGGGCATTACTTTTACATATACTGCCCACTAAATCTGCTGTGAAGAGACTGTGCTGTCCCTGTGATAGGCAGGTAGAACGGTCATCGTACACCACCTCATTTATCTAAAACCCAGTTCGTTTAGCATTATAATGCCCGTTTTGTGTGACCTGGCCACCAGATTTCTGGTGATCAGTGCTAGTCAGCTGTGGTTGGTTGGTTGTCGACTAATGAGTAAACTTCAGCCAAAAACCTAAAGAGATTTTTTATTTATTGCTTCTGTTCTTTTCTCAGGACACTGGAAATGGCAGGACATATGCAGAGATTGTACAGTGAATACAATTTTCAATCACATCTGTTGCCTTCAGTGTCCACAGTCCATAACCAAAGCGCCAGAGCTGGAAACTGGACTCGAGGCCATCATGTGGGCCGTTAGGGTCACGTGAGTCAAGGTGTGGAAAGGTGTTAAATTGTATGGGTAGGGATGTCAAGACTCCATTATAAGTGGTGTCGTAGACCCTCCCCCTGATAACTCCCAGTCTGTGCCCCGGTGGATGGTGAGAATCAGAACATCTAAAATCCAGCCATGATTGCTGGTTGTTGTTGGACCATTTTTTTCACCATCCATATATCTAAAAATTTTATAACGTCACCTGATGAGCTCTGAGATGTTCACTCAGTTTAGCTATGAATGATTTAGAGCTTTAAGTGATGCCCCCCCTGTGAGGGCTGAGGAAAAAACCCTGCTTACAGGAGACACGTTGCTACCAATCAGCAGAGAATTTTTCGCAGTTCACTCAGAGTAAAGTAGCGTGAAGGACACCTCTCTGGACAGAGACTGCTGATCATGTGGTGTGGAGGTGAGAGCGAGCGTTTGCCTCAGCAGTAAACGCCCTTCTGGTTTAATGATGTCATCCTCTTCACCTCAGCCGATGACTGTTCTTTCTCAGCACTTAATCCTCTTCTATTCTGTCTTCATCTCCAGATCTCAGCGTTCACCTCTGTCTGCTCCTCCTCACCCAGTCCGGTTGTTTTACCTCAACACAAGCAGGAATCACATTTTGAGCAATAACTGCCTCCTCACTCTTCTCTTTAGTTCTTCTAATATTGCTACAGTGCACTGTATGTGGTTTCATCATGACTCTTTCAGACGTTTATCCCATACTGTATTCCGTCAGCCACGTTAATGTCGTAAGCACGCAGTGTCCCGCCTATACGGAAGCAGAGACGTAAGGTACGGGCACGCTCACGCTCCGTCTGGCATCAGCCATTGCTCCAGCGTGGCCGGATTTGCGTGCTCTCCTCATCTGTAGGTGGGGTTGCCATGGAGATGTGGCATTCACTGTGCTGCTGATGGGAGTGATCGGTCTGCACTGCGCACACAAACACACACACACACACACTTTCATCAGTGGCTAAAAATAGGGGGTTGGCCTGAGCCAGCCTCGTTCTCTGAATATTGATCCTAATCTAGTGATGCCTCTGAGGAGGAACGAAAGGGCAGAATATCTGAGCTGGACAGATGAGACAGGAAAGCGTGAGCATTATGCTAATGTTCCACTGCTCCCTCACATGCCTGAATCCCCGGTGCTCAAAGTGCTGATTTCTTCTCTGGTTCGTCTTTTACCGATGTGCTGTACAACCTCAGAGGAGCCAGATGTTTTTTTGCCTCTGAGAGGTCACACTCTTTGAGCAGCTGATGAAACTGGACCATTAACCTAATATGTTTAATTAAGGAGGAAACCCTAGGTAAGATTGATGTCAGACTCTACAGGTAAATTGCTTCTCATTTATATCTGTCTCACACCTGGCTGAAGCAGGGCCATTTGTCTTGATCACTCTTGGATGAAGATGCGTAGTTCACAGGTATCCTGTTCTGCACTCAGACTCTTGGAAGAATTGATTATCAAATAAACTGGGTTCACCTACAAAATATTTTTAGGGGATTTTATTTATTTATTAGACAGCTGGCAGTAGTATCTAGCCGCAGTAGAGAGAAAAATCTGACCTTGGACCTGCTCACACTTCAGTACATCCGACCAAAGTTTTGGTCATGCGAGACATCCATCGGATTGTGCAGGAACCAGATTGTTGGTCGTTCAAGTGATTAATTGAAAGCTGGGACCCTACTCACGCTGCGCGCCAAACAACTACCTATTGAGCTGTGTCCGTACAGTGTCTGCCCCACTTCATACATCCATGGTTTAGCTCACAGTGAAAAACACACACCCTCATTATTTGAATGGAGCCAGTTTGTCGACTCAGTTGGGTTCTAATGTTGAGGTCAGCATTTGAATGGCTATGTTGGCCAATGAAATACATGCAAGCACACTCTTATGGTAGATTACTTTGTAATGCAAATGCTTCATTTTTACTGTGACCTTGGACCTGCTCACACTTCAGTACATCCGATGGCTGACAGGATCTCAGAGTTCGATCACTGCCAGCAGTAGATCTGTGGTGTTTCTACCGGAATATGTTCACACCAAACTTGTGATGTGCCAGACGCTCCCATCGCCAGGATGTGTCTAATTACACCTGCCAAGGTGCAAGAGCACTTAGCGGAGCTTTAATTATACCTATCTCGCCCACTCACTTTGTCTGCTGCACTCATGCCTGCATGTGTGACAGCTGAAATCATTAAACATGTCGAGAGGAAAACGAACGTGGGGGACTGAGAATTGGGACTAAACAGTGGGAGGTCTAGGTAGTGGTGAAAACATGAATTTCATTGTCATTAGCAGGGGATTGTGAATTGATGGGCTGCTTATTTCCCTATTGTCCTCTCTCTCTCTCTCTCTCGCTCTCTCTCTCTCTCTTTGTGTGTAAAAGAGAGCCGTGAAGTAGTGGTGTTCAGTGCAGAGAACTACACCAGGATTGAGCAGCAGAGGGTTAATTAGGTGCTGTGTTAAGAGCAGTTTGGAAAAATCACTTAAATTGGATTCCCTTCAAAGGGACACTGGAGTTTCATTCAGCCCTTGATTTCAATTTTATAACTTTGACCACTATTAATATTAACTTTTTGTCAGCTGTGTTAAATGAGGTCTGGGAACACAGCAGCTTCTGTCACCAGGGTACGACAGTGAAGTCAGGGAAGTGGAAGCATCAGCAGCATGAGCATGTTTTGCCATAACACTTTATTAAATAACAAAGCAAAAGCAGCGTGTTAACAAAAACGTATGAATCTTTGCTTTAACTGTCCGCCTGCAGTTTTACTGTTTTGGTTCACTCTCATCATTCTTGTGGAACCTTTTTTGACTGTGTTTGGTGAAAATAAACTCTTAATCCCCCACCGTACACTATTCTCAGGCAATCCCACTGTACAACAACAGACAGACATGGGTAGAGACTAGCTTGTGAGCACAGTGGAGCATTTAGCAGCTAAAAAGCCAGGTAGCTCCCTCAGGGTTTGGTAGAGACCAAAAACAGAGCTAAAACAGTAAAAGGAAAAAGAAAACGTTGGGCTTAACTTGACCTGGTGGGCACAAACAGAACTCTGTATAAAGATAATGATGCTTTGTACCTGCTGGATTTGCCAGTAAGCATCTGTTTGCAGTTCACCACGTCAACTTGATCAGTGTTGTGCTCACAAATTCTTTCTGCTGCTCCCAAGTCGCCTTTGAAAATGTTACTGACGTGTCAGGTGGGCTCACCTTCAGGTTTACCTCCAAATAAAGTGGTTTAGAAAATGTGGCTAAACTGACCATGTTGGCAGATTTCAGAATAACAGATACAATAATGGCTAAAACACAAGTACAAAGAACAAAGTCCAAGTTATAATAAAGCTGAATTTTCCTTTAAGGTCAGGTCAGGTGTAATGTCTTCTCTTTCTTCTATCCAGCTGCCTTTTGTCATCCAGGACACACTGTATGAGATTAAAATGATTACGTGAACTCATTCAGCCGTGTTTGTTTCTCCTGTAGTGTAAATTTCAAAGAGCCCAAGGCGGTGCGAGCGCTCACCTGCACACTGCTAAAGGAGGACTTTGATTTGACCATTGAGATCCCTCTGGAGCGCCTCATACCCACCGTCCCCCTGCGCCTCAACTACATCCACTGGGTGGAGGACCTCATCGATGGACAGAAACAGCCACGCAGGGGCATCGACATCGGTACGTTCAGGTGCACGTGCGTCATCCTGCTGTATCTGGTGACGGTGTCACAAATGAACTGAGCTCAAATCACTTTTCATTCGCTGAAGGATTTTATGAAGGTTTGAGTCCTGCGCTGTGGTGTGCTCCTCTGTAGGGCGATACTCAGAAGGATTTAAGCTGGCCAGTTACTCATCATGTTTGTTGCTGGACCAATGGCGAGCACAGGACCCTAATCCAACCCTGTTTCACAGTCTGCCTCCCAAATGGTGAGGTTGCCAGTATACTCTATCATAACTGCTTGTTGGATGGTCAGATAGGTTTAGAAACGCCTCCTTCACTCCCACAGTCTGGGACTTGATACAGCTAAAATTCAGTGGAGAAGAAAGTACAAAAATATGTCGGAAGTACAAGCAGGTGGTCTCAAGTTAATCAGAGTCCCCTGCTCTTGTTGTGGCTGCCAGCAGCTCAGAGCGGCACTCTATGTGTCTGTTGGTGCTTTCACCTGGCACGCAAGTCTAGTCAATCCCAGGGTTCCCAGCATGAATCGGCCACACCCCCGTCCACATGTCACAGCTTGTTTGATGGTCATGCGTTGTGATTGTGCCTGCAGGTGTGTGTGTACTGGGATGGCAATTCATTGTGAGGACCGGGTTGAGGTTTAGACCATAGGAGTGAGGACATTCTGGCCACTCTTCACTTTCACGCACACCTTCGAAGGGATGGTTTAGGTTGCGGGTTAGGCATTTAGTAGTGATGGTTAGGGTATGGGCCAAGGGAATGCATTATGTCACCGATTGTCCTCACAACTGTAGAAAGATTGTGCATTCTCTTTAGGGCCTTGGGTCACAGATCGGTGACCTTGAGCCTTTTTTAAGCAGATTGAAGCTGTCTGCTCCCTGATGGATCATCACTGATGCCACCTTTGTTTGAGCTCGGGATAAATTGTGCAGCTTTTGTCCCTGTTAGATTTGAAAGATTTAGTAGTAGCTGCTGAAACTGACATTTATTGTCCATTAAAGGCCACTAACTCAAAGATAAGCTGCAAACATGTCTGTCTGTGTGTGCACGTTTCCTCAGGCACTGGTGCGTCTTGTATCTACCCCTTGCTGGGAGCCACAATGAACAGCTGGTATTTTCTTGCTACAGAGGTGGATGACATCTGTTTTGACTATGCAAAGAAAAATGTGGAGCAGAACAACCTGTCTGAGCTCATTAAAGGTAAGTGTGGCCCACTATAGCTAAACAAACAGCAGCCCTTCACTGTAGCGTTTGGAGGTTTTCTCCCCTAGTGTGTCTTGGCTATTGAACTTTGGCTGAGCTGCTGTGGCTGTAACTAACAATTATGAAATAAAGGTGGATATTAAAACATGGAGAGTCGCAAAGAAGGTGAAGCGACTCCGTATGGTAAATTATGGTGGGCCTTTTTATTTTTTTTTACAGTTTTATTGAAAATATGATCTGTAATAATGAATCGGCAATTAAAGAAAATAAATTGTTTGGTATCAATTTTGAGGTGTTTGTTTCTGCTTCAGTGTTAGAGTGTAAATAAAAGAAAATGCAAGCAGAAGTGTCACCAGTCAGTTCCCATCATCCATCTGTGCTGCCATTTTTTAAATCTCACAAAACTACGAGAAAATCCCCCAAAACATAAGAGCAAACAGTACAGAACAGTCCATCCACTGTTCACTAGCCTGTGATTCATTTTTCCCAAGAGTCGTTCTGGCAATCTAAAATATCCGACTCACAAATCCCAGTCTCATCTTACTGGTTTATGTTCCCCAGTTGTCAGAGTCCCTCAGAAGACTTTACTGATGGACGCCTTAAAGGAAGAGACAGAGGTCATATATGACTTCTGCATGTGCAACCCACCTTTTTTTGCAAACCAGCTAGAAGCAAAGGTAAGTGTCCCTTCGCCACGAATGATCTACTGCTGTCCTGTTTGAATCTGGAGTGTTTTAAATTCACAAACACTGACAACGTTGAACATGAGTATTTGGCAGAGCAGCTGACGTGAAACACTGATTAGATGCAGGCTCCTAATAGGATTTTATCTTAATCTCTGTCTTGTTGCTCTCTCCAGGGGGTGAACTCCAGGAACTCATGGCGACCTCCCCCCAGTTCGGTGAACACAGGCGGGGTGACGGAGATCATGGCCGAGGGTGGAGAGTTGGAGTTTGTCAAGAGAATCATTCATGACAGTCTGCAGCTGAAGAAACGCCTGCGGTGAGGAGAAAAGCAGGACTGACCTGCAAAATGAAACCTGATAAGCAGGAGCCTTCTCTTTAGCTGCAGTGTGTTGTTTGTGAGTAAAACCAAATTGAAACCAGATTTATTGTGCACAGTCAAAATCAGAAATGGTAAAAATTCAGGACTAAAGAGTGACATACTGTAACTGGCAGCTGGATGTACTGCAGTTGTGATTTTTCTGTAGAGACTGAGAGCTTTAAATGGCTGCAGAGTGAAGGGGAGACACTAAGAGGTAAAGTGGGCAGATGGGTTGCTGCACATTGATGGAGCTGTCACCCACAGTTGCTTTAATGATTTTGGCACACACTTAACCCGTGCTGTATCCGGGAGCCCACTGGGAACAGCTGTGCTTTGGTGGGTGGCTGGGGGTGTCTCCGGTGGCCGTCACTTTACCCTCCCCTGTTACTGGGGCTATCACTGGGGCAGCGGAGTGAGACACGGGTAGAGGAGGCTGCAAAGTGGTGCTATTAAAACTGATTAGACATGCCACACCTGCCTGGCCTCCAACAGGGAGAGCTCTGTGTGCGTGTGTGTGTGTGTGTGTGCGTGCGCTGTATGCAGTGGTGTGTATTTGTGTATTGGTTCACTGGAAAGACAGGCAGCCACAGGAGAGCAGACTGATGTTAACACCTGCCTGCTGTCCTGTGGCTCTGGGTTACTCTCATGTAGCGAGGACAGTCAGTCAGAACAAACCCAGTTTTATTTAACAAGTTTGAGGCTCAGGTCAAACCAACCGGAACCAGCTGTCACTCCCAAAAGCATGCTGGGACACCAAAGCCACCAGGTGCCCATGGAAACACCGCCAGCTTTACCAATTGGCCCTTTGAGACACTCCATCGCCCCACCCTGCTCTTTTTCCACTGAAGTGTAATTACTGTCGGAAAGGGCTGAGCCACCTCAGTATAACGCTCATGTAAATGCCCAGAGCCACGGTTAGAAATGAGGCAACACTCCTCATTTATCACGTCATTGATATGAAAATTACCATCTCTGCTAATAGACTGTAATCACATGCCTGTGCTTCAGAAATGTGAAGAGAGAAGATTGAGTATGGATGCTAATGCAGCTGCACACTTTGGGGCGTTTGTAAAAGCCGCCGGTGGAGGAGGGTGCTGGGGGAACTCCCCACCGCGCTGAAAACCGGGGAACATCTGTGAATATTAGGCCTGTGCAATATTTCATTGTGTCAGCTGAAGCTGACGTGCCGCTCGCCCCTTCACCTCTCTGGGCACTTTGATACATCCCAAACCCGATTACCAGTTAATCAGTTAGAACAGGTTTTCATGTGTGATTAAGTAGAGCCGTGTGTGTCTGCAGCGTTGTGCTTAACTGCAGTAGGGGATGCGACTGCATCAGCATAAAATTATCAATAATCTTGTTAGAGACTTGATGCTAAATGATTATATTGTTGTATTTTGTTTGTTGTATTTGCATAAAGATCTAATGATTATTTAAATTGTCGTTATTTTAAATTAGCAGATTTTAATGTTTTCCTATAAAACAGTTTAGAGAGATTTTAGCGAGTAGATCAGACACATCCACAGAAGGGAGGAGGACAAAACCAAGATTATCTGTGGATATTTACATCCTTTACATATTTATCGCAGTTCATGTGCATGTTGTGTCTCCCCCCCCCCCCCCCCCGCGTTGGGGTTTAAAAAAAAAAAAACCAGCTTTAATTAATATGTGCTGACAGGGTTTGTGAAACTGATCAGACTAATGTGGTGTGTTTATCTTCCTCCATCCTCCCCAGCTGGACTCTGCTGCCTATTGATCAAAGACAAGACCAGTCTTTTTTTCTCTTTATTGCACAGTAAAGATTATTGATCGAGCCTGCACCACAGGATGACTTCAAAGCTGTACACACATGGATGTTCTTCCAGCTCTTGTGTCTGACTTGGTCTTTGAGGTGCTCCCTTGAGTTCACCTCAGCTCATTTGAGCTCTGCTTGGTAGTTCGTGCCCAGGATGAGAGCTGCTGACACAGTCGTACACAGCTGCTTATTATGGATTCTTCTTCCTGCAGGTGGTACAGCTGCATGTTGGGGAAGAAATGTAGCCTGGCACCTTTGAAAGAGGAGCTGAGGAAGCAAGGGGTAAGTAGTCAGTGAGACGCAGAACAAAGGCAAGCACACACTAGAAATTTGCAGTCAGTGTGAGTAACAGAGCAACCACAGCTTGTTCGTGCAGGAACAAGCCTCTGTGCAGGGTTTGATAATGGCTTGTTAACACCATCTTTGCCTCCCATTTCAAACCAACACTCTTCTGGGGTTGTGTATTGATGTTATGGGCAGGCAGCCATCGCTGTCAGGACAGCAGATACCCAGATAACTGCAGCAGGTCGGCTTTTTCTAATATGTTAGCTAAGCAGTGGCACAAATGAGCCAGGAATGAGCTGATGTCTGTTAGCAGTGTATGACTGATTCACATGACACTGTGTAGCTAACATGCATTAGCGACATTAGCCCAGCACATGACTCCTGACTGCTGCAGGCCTGTGCTCCTGTGCCAGTCATATTTTTCATGTGCTCAAACTGGGGGGGAAAAAAAACAAGTCTAGCTTCCCCCTCTGCACCAGCTGCCCCTCAAACCTCCTCCAGAGGTTTCACTGTGATGTTGCTGCTCATCAGAGTGACACCCAGAGAGGAGACCGGAGCTTCATTTTAAAGTGTGTGTAAAAAGAAGCCTGGCCTAGTTCACTTTAGTTCACACAGTAGAAATAAAAACCTTAAGCAGTCATCTGATGTGTAACCAGTGTTGGAAGAAGTACTCGGATTTTACTGTTACTTAATTAAAAGTACCAGTATCACAATATACACAAGCACAATCACAAGTAACAGTCCTACATTCAAATATTACTCACAAATACAAAAGTATTATGAGTTAAATTGAGAAGAATTTACTGGTAGAAGAGGGGAATCAGAATTTTAAACAAACGTTTTTGTGCTATAACTCAGTGTTGTGCTACTCACATTACAGTCCTGGCCACTTGAACTTTGTCAATATTGGAGTAAACATTTTTCCTTGTACAACTGTGTGTGACATTTATGTGACCTTTCTGTTTTGTTTTTGCTCAGGTGCCTAAAGTGACCCACACAGAGTTCTGTCAGGGACGCACCATGCGGTGGGCACTGGCCTGGAGCTTCTACGATGATATTATTGTTCCAGTAAGTCTATGTTATTTCTGTCCCCGTGTACTTGAAGAACACCAGTCCTGCTGTGTACAGTCCTGTACTTTAGACTCAGCAGTTTGTCCTGTGGTCACCTTGGCTGCGTAATGAAAGTCAGTACTGTAATGTACTGCCTGATATTACTTACTGAGTATTAACAAACAGTACTATATGTCAGTACAGAGCAAGTGATGTCATCAGCTTTGGTCATTTTGCTGCTTGGACTGCTCCCATCATGCTGGTGGATGTTCCCAAAGCCACCTCCACAGTGCGCCTGCGTCCTGCTCCATCCTCTCTCCCACCAGCCCCGTTTCATTAGAACCACTCACCCTTCTTCTGGGAATGTGTTTATGCGATTTTTGACATGTTGTAGCTGGGCAACAGTTGCCAGGGCACAACTGTGCATGTATATTGTACCAAGGTCTGGACAAATAGAGATTTGTAGATCAATAGAAAACAGGGACAGTGAAACAGCCAGAACAGTGACAGGCAGCACAGAGAGGGCTAAGAATGATTCCACGGTGACGACAGACTGAAAACACACAAAGGAAGGTGGGAGGAGGCCAGCAGGCAGTGTCAGGACAACTGTTTGTGTTTTGTTGGACTCGCCTCTGTTTGGTTTTTGCAGCCCAGAAGCAGCTGAGCAGAAAGATTGGCCTACATTGCCTCCTGTGACCCTCCTCCTTCATTTACACTTGGGAGCTGCTTGCCATCATTTTCAGGCAGAGCCATCGTGTCTGTGTCTGTGTGTGTGTGTGTGTGTGTGTGTGTGTGGCCTGGTATTGCTCACGTTGTATGGATGTAAATCTGTTTACACAGTCACCGTGTGTGGGCTCAATGTCCTTAAGGGGACAAAAAGCAAGTCCCAAAAATGGAAATCATTACTTATTAGAGTGATGGTGTGATTTAAAGTTAGGGTGAGGCAAGTAGTGGTTATGGTTAAGGTGAGGGTCAGTCTCCAGGGAATGAATGCAATCAATATAATGTCTTCTTGAAGTGGTAGAAAGACGTGTGTGTGGGGTGGGGGTTTGGGTTAAATGCATGTGCAATTCCCCTGCTAACCCTGGTTGCATGCATGCTCCTCTGGATGTAGGGGGCTCATTAATGTTACATGTGAGATGTGGTCAACTGTGCCTTTCCTAACTCCCTTATTACCAAGTCAGCCTGCAAACTATTAATTCCACTGGTACTCTCCTCTTTTTTTTCTCCTGCTCTGGTTTGTGTAAACATATATATTTAAGCCAACAGGCAAAGAATTGCCCTCTACTGGGACTCCTGAAAACAAACTGATATGTAACCAATCTAAATATCTGGATTCACAAGGTTGACCTGACTTACCTGGGATTTACATCTTAATAACATTTCTGATTTTCGTAATCCCTGGTAGAAACGGATTTAAGCTGATTTAAAATGTTTTGGTTTTCAGATCTCGAAACAACAAGCGCATCGTGACATAAGCATAAATATAATGGTCCAAAACCAACATTTCAACATTCACACCCATCTTCATGTTGTGACTGGCCAGGAGTGTTGAGGTGACAGTAAGCCGGGCTTGTATTGTCTCATACAGGAGGAAGCTGCAGGTTCAGTCCAGAGTATAGAAGTCCATACAGCGAGTTGGGGAAAAAAGGAAATGGGGGCTGGATGGAGAGGGGTGACTTGAGTATGATTTGCAGGGTCTGCCTGGAGGTGGAACTGGCAGCATTTGTTTCTACATCATGTGTGCGTGCACTCAGGATGTCGAGATGGATAATTGAATGGCATTATATCCGGAGGAGAGAATGCACTTTGGGCTTGTGCGCTTTTACCATCCCTACTTTTCAAAATCTGGCTGGGCTTTCATTGTGAGTTTGTCATCTACCTGTATGGTGTGTGTGTGTGTGTGTGTGTGTGTGAGGGAGCAGTGAGGTGAGAGTGGGTAAGTGGGATTAATAATGGAGTGAAAGAGCAGGGAGTCAGAAGAGGATGGGATTCACTAGAGAGGTGTTTATATGAAACTGTACATGTGCATTTCAGGCTCTTTGTGAATCTGTGTATGCTGTTTATACCATTGTGTTAGTGTCAAGGATGCTTGGTACAGACTTCCCTTGATGGATTTTATTGATTTAGTTTCTTTGTACAATGAGCTTCAAGGCTTGCAGAGCATGGAAAACAAGGGGCAGAGACATCCGTATCCATTGTCAGCCCATTAATGAAATATGTCCATGTCCCCTAAACACGCACCTACAAAGAACAGCTTACGTAGATGATCGACCCTTTTACTGGGAGTGAAATTGTTTATTTTTTATTATTTAAAATTAGGCAGATGCAGGGAAGATTTGCGTTTATTCATTATACATAATTTCAGATTCCTCTCCATTGTCATTAGACAGCGAAGTCTAATGCGTGGGAAATCAAAACGTGACTCCAGATCAGTGCAGTGGTGTGAAGGTCATAGTCTGCTCCTTCCCTCGGCTGTTTGTAGGTTAGTTGGCCATGCTGTCTGCTCTGTCACAGTACAGTGCTGTTGCTGCAGCCCCCCCATCTCCCCACTCCTGCTTAGCCTGCAGTGACTTGCAGAGTGCAGCTTTGAAATATTGGCTGCGGTGGACATGTAGCAGAAGATTGCAGCAGAGCATCTGTCGTATTCAGAAACGGGCGGGTAATGACCTCCAACCTCATTACAGTGTGACATTAAGAACACTGCAGGTTCAGGTGACGTTCGTGTGGTTTGAGCGCCCTCTTGTGGTGCTTGATGGGCACCCATCTTGTGTTTATTTGTCCTTGTGATAAGCCACATTGATGCACCTGTTTGACTGCACAGCTTTAGGAATCAGCTCATAAGCAGTAAAGATCTCTTGCTAAGGAACAGCCAGGTTCACCATTCATTGCATGTTGAGAATTTAGTTGAAAAGAGCTGAAAAAGATGACGCTTCTTTTTGGGATGATAGGAAGGTGAATGTATAGTCAGGAAACAAGTGTTTTTGACAGTGACTACACCCACAAAAGTGCAGTACTGTTCAAAAAAGACACTAAAAATGTATATGCTTTCAAAGTAATGACGAATAGGTTTTATTTGTGAGTCAACTACATCCAAAGTTAGTAAACTGAAACAGCCCTAAATCAAGTCAGTGTTTGGTTTGACCACAAGGTCACAATATGCTGATGTGCAGTTTTTTAGGGCTCTTGTCAGGAAGGTGGCTCCAGCATCATAGAGAACTTGTCACAGTTCCCCTGTGGAATTAGGCATCGCAGTGTCCTCTGTCTCTCCATGTAATCCCAGACTGACTCCATGATGTTGAGATCACAGCTCTGTGGGGGCCGTGCCATCTGCTGCACGTGTCCTTGTTCTTCTTCTTCTCTCCGGCGGTAGTTCTTTGTGACTGCAGCTCGATGTTTGGGCTCATTGTCAGCCTCCAGAAAGAATTTGGGATGTCAGACGTCTCCCTGATGGTGTGATGGATATCTAATGTCACGTTTATGTTGTATTGTTTAAACCATAATTACAAGCAGCTGAGAAAACATCCAACCGCAAATGAAAATAAAATACAGTATTAACACTAACATAATCCATTCAGCTGGTTTTATAGGAGCAATACAATATTTTATATCGTTTCAGATTCTAACACACCAATAAAAATATATAAAACAGCTAAATGAGCTAATGTAGGTTATTTATCTACAATGTTAGCACTTGGGCTATGACTCCCAGTCTGCTGACATTGTGTAAATGTAGCATGAGCATCTAAAGCATTTAAAACGTATGCACAATGCTGTATATAATCCACTATCACTGATTTCATAATGAAGGCAGTTCTGTGTACACGGAACTGATTTATGGCCATATCCCTGTACAAGTGCGAACAGACCACGCTGCTGTAAATGAGTCAATATTCTAGCTGTAACAAAAGATAGTTACATTTTTAAAATGCTGCATATCACTGGCAAATTTATGCAGCTTTGCCTCAAATATTTTTTATCTCCTAAGATAAGACTATAGATTTTAGCTACTGTGAATGTGAAAATAGAGATCAAATATAAAAAGCTCTAAGTTAATAAGCTTCGGAGAATTTGAACACAGACTAATCAGACTATGTACAGCCTTCTTTTGTTAGCGAGATTATTGATAGTAGTAGATGCTTAAAGAAAAAGATCTTGATTTTGAACAAATAACATATGACTTTCTTGTGTTAACATTAAAAAAGTTTAATTGTATCTGCTGCTTGATAACAAAATGACTTTTTGCCTAAAGCAGTGTTATTTTGCCTGTGTGTGTGCTCTGGTTCTGTAGACTCAACTCTTTATTAACTGTGGTAACTTAGTTGTTACTGTGCTCTGGTTCTATAGACTCAACTCTTTATTAACTGTGGTAGAAATAAAAGATATAGCTGACAAAGAGCTGTGTTGAGGTGAAAATCCATGGGTACAAACAAAGGATATGAGACTGACAGCTTTGTTTTCAGAAGAGGAGACAAAACCCAGATCAATGCCACACGTTTTGAGAGCTCTCAGGTTTCCTGTGGTCCACAGCACTGGTGTGAAATCAAAGCTAAATGTGGTTATCCAAGGTGATGTTTGAGTTTTAAACTGTTCCATAACACACGACTGTCATGCGCCATTTTAAGTTGCAGAGAGGAGTCATTTTCATTCATGTGTCTTCTTACAAGCCATGTTAGTTATAAGAAAGTGTTTGGTCTCGTGACACACTTAACAAATCTGACAAAATACAGTTTGTGTGTGTGTGTGTGAGTGAGAACTACCTTCCAGTGCCCTCTGTTGACAGCCTTGGTCCAGACACTGGTTTTGGACCAGCTCCAAATAATTTCCAGCCTCTGATGTAGATGCCTGAAAACAGAAACCATAACAAAACACCGACTGTCTCTGAGTTTCTCAACCTGTCCCCAACAAGTGACCATGTCCCAGTATGTGACACCAGCATGGCATCAGTGCACAGACCAGCCCAGTTAACGAACAGTGAGCACAACAATGTGCAGCCAAAATATGTTAAGTATGAGAAGAATGCTGTGGGAGCACTAAACAAAATAAACACACAGTTGGTAAGAACAGTGCAATCAGAAAATATTCCCTTTCATATCTAATCTGGAGAATGTAAAACTGCATTTACATGGTCAGGGTTGTAAATTCCTGACTGTTGTTTGTAAAGTTTTGCACTTTATCAGAATGTTTCAGGATTTATCCAGAGCTTATTTTAAAATGACCTTACTGACATTGATACCACAGGTATCAACTGTACCAACGACCTGCCCCTTTGGTCAGTGTGACCTTCTGCCACTCTACTAAAATGACCTTTCACAAAAGATTTTGTTCTTTGTTTTTTTGCTTACATCCACAGTACGGGTTGTCGTTTAATTGTCTGCGGTTCTCCCTCTTTGTTCCCAGTCTCCCCCAACTAAGAAGCGTAAGCTGGAAAAGATGAGGAAACCCCTTTCGTTCACACTTGCAGAGGCGGGACTGAGCGAGCTCCAGGCCAAGGCCTCGGCTATGGGCTGTACGTCCCACAGCGCTGTGGACAGCGTCGCTGCTTTGCTGGAGAAGACACTCACTGACCTGAGGGTAAGCTTTCCAGAGCTGTCAGTTCTCATTCAGAGGGTTAGAGATTAACTGTGACCGGGCCATACACGTCATCATTTGAAGGTCACAGCCATATGGCCTTTGTTTTCATACTCTGTGGGAGGGCACTAAGGCCCGTTGATAAAAATGATGTTGTAGGCGATGTATGTATACAGCCTGAGCAGTAATGTTAGAACTAATGGTTTGGTGGATATGTTCACAGCATAAATACAAACACCCAGGTTTAAATGAAAGTGCAGATACTTGTAAACTGTTTATGTGAAATATGCAGAGATTTCACTGTGTGCTAAAATAGCACACAGATGTGGGGAACACAAGATGTTGATGTTATCATGTAGTATTAAAGAGTGAAAGTGAATAATTCTACAGCATATTCTGCCAGTTTACATGGATGTACAGTATATGGACTGCTCTACAGTCGGCTAAAGTTAATGCTAGTTCAATAAACTCTGACGCTGAATGTCTGCGCTCTCAGTCCAGGGGAATATTAAAAGACACATGGGAAAGCTGACCAGTCCAACCAGTGTGATTAGTGATCCAGTTGATTCGTTGGATTCTTAGAGCCTTCAGTTTAACAATGTGTTTGTCAAACTGGACTTGTTGAATTGCATTTCATTGTCTCACCAGTACCTGAAGCAACTCGCCCCAATAAACGCAATAGAGCAGGTTTGATATGAATTGAGTTTACTGGTACGTACTGACACCAGGAAACAGCTGTGTGTTGCGTGCAAAAGTTTGATACTGACAAAGGCGTTCTCCTGTCTGCTCGCCTTTTATGTGATGCCAACCTAACTACCGGCTAAATCAATTAAAGCATTTAAACCACAAATAGAGAAACACTTGAGTACTGTGTGACAACGTTTAGCTTCAAGCAGTGCAGCAGGAGACAGGTTTTACCCTCGGGGCTTGCCGTAGCTGTACGTGCTGCTGCTGCTGCTGCTGGCACAGTTCAGTACCTCAGTATCAATACAACTCGTTCAAAGTCATTCAGACTCACTCTGCTGATGATGGTCTCACAACTCATACAGATTCACTCTCCCTCAACACTTCCCACATGTGGTGATAGACACACACAAAACAACAATATCAGATAAACAATGATACTGTAAAGGATCAGCTGCCAATGGGAGGATTAAACAATGTTTGACTTTCAAGTGATACCAGTCAGACAGCACACAGCTTGTCTGGCCTGTAGTGGCCATATAGACACATGTATTGGATACTCAAAAAAGTGAAAGTTTTGTGTCATGTTGTCTAGTAACCAGCACATACACCAGGTAATCATAACACCTCCTTTCCACCGTCTGCAACCCGGTTCTGATCTGTCCTCTGTATGGCTTCGTCTCCCACTGGGTGCGTCCGAGGAGCAGCTCGTTGTGGTGCTGATTTTATGTGTAGGCTATATTTCCTGGTTTTTGAGCTTCTACAGTATAAGCAGGCTTCATAATGGTTTCTTTTTTGTCTGTTTTAATTATGTTTACTGTTCATATTTCCTACAGTTAAAGACTACAGTTAAGTTAAATTTAACAATTACAAGTTAAGTTGCTATTTAACACGAATCAAAGATTGGTGGCTGTGGCTAATTAGTTCATAGCCTGTGTTTCACATAGATATCTTTAGGGGAAAGCACTGTTTGATTGGTGGGCCGAACTTTGTCAGATGCGTCCTAGATGCAGCATTCATCAAAAATACAGCCTCAAAGATTATTGTAGAGATAAGTAAGCGCCCTCACATCAGCTTCAGGGTCACAAAGGTAGTGTTAATGTGCAGTCCTGTTGAATTACTTTGGCAGCCGTTAATTTTACTGTTGTTCACATGTAGCTGACTCACATTAGATGAATTCAGTTTGACACACACACACTCCCTTCAGTATATCACTCTGTCTTCCTACATGGCAGGTGCTGCACAAACGCGTTCCTTGCAGAGAGCAGGAGCAGAGTCTCTTTCTGACAGCTGTGGAGAACACATGGATTCACGGACGACAAAAACGCCGTGAACAGAAACGTCAGTTGCGAGAGCTTCCTAGAGCACCTCCCTGTACTGGAACCTGCTCTCAAAACACTGTGGCCTCAACTGCTCCACCTACAACCCCAGCATCCACAAAAAACCGCAGCACCCCAGACGACAGTGCTGAAAACAAAGCTACATTTGCACAGGAACCTGCAGCACAGACTGGCAACAGCGCCTCCACAAATGAGACAAGTAAACACGAGATAGGTGGAGAACAAAAAGAGGCCTTAGAAAACGTAACGGATAAAGATGTCGACATGGAGTCTCCCTGCACAGAAGCAGGACAGGAAATGGAGCCAAAGGAAACACTTGCTGCATCAGGTGAGCCGCCCTGTAAGCGACCCCTGAGCCCGGGGGCAGTCAAACACTTCCTCTTTAAGTGTCTGCTAAATGTGATGCTGGAGAAGGGCGATGTCTTGATTGAGATGCACTGGGTTGAGGGTCACAACAAAGACCCGATGAACCAACTGTGTACTTACCTTAGGAATACACTTTTAAAGTCTGCTGCAAAGTCCTAAATGACAAGAAAGTCATGAGCTTTTCTTTTCAAAACAGTATGATCAGCAAGTACAATTCAACAGATGTGATTTTAGAGATTAGTATTGAGTGCCTGTGTGCTGGAAAGAGTCTTCTGTGTGTGACTGTGTACAGCTTTTGAAAAATGTTGTCCACTGTGACTTCCTGAGGTTTTTCCACTAGAGAATCACAGTTGTAACTAGACCGTAATTAATTGATCTTTTGAGGAAGTGCATACTGTACACCAGTATTTTGTTCTTAAAACATTTGGAATAAAATACATTTTAATAACATTTTTGCTACTCCATCATGTTATTGTGGGCTGCCATGCTTTTTGATGTTGTGGTGCTTCTAAATAGCCACAAGAGGACAGTGTATGTTTCTTCTTTAAAGGAACATTTCTATCATGATAAGCTGTACTAAGATTAAATCCTTTATTTGCTTCTTAAACAGAGTGTTTTGATGATGGCTTGTGTAATTCAGGATGTTCCTGGAGCCACTCAGCCTTTCCTGTGCCTGAACTACCATTTATATTATTAGAATTATTATTCTGTTGTATACTTCCTGCCTAGAGCCGAGTGAATAACAGGAAAAAAGACACCTAAAATATCCAGGGCCATGTGTGTGCGGGTGCACATTCATTGTTGAAGTTTCACAAGCAAAAACACAGTTCCTGCTCATGCTGCATGTTTCTCGATTACGCTAGGACTTTGTGTTTGTCTTGAGTTGTGAGAGGGAACATCAATGTTAAAACAGGCGTTTAGTGTCCTTTTGTTAGATCAGGATACTGATAGTGATATACACCTTCAATGCCATTTATTAAAAACAAGGTATGATGCTTCGAAGCTGTTTTATAATTATGTCTTCACAAGAGGAAATTTCATTCATAGGTGACTCTTATCCCTTATAAATCAGACTGGCTATTTCTTAGCCATTGCTGGAATTTTGACCTGAAAATGGACATGGAAAAGTTGACTTGATGAGTCAGAATGGCAAGAATTTTGATAATGGGTTTATCTTTTGTTGTTATACAAGAATGCCTAAGATTTGCTGGCTCCAGCCCCCAAATAATAATGTCACCTTGGACTCTGGAAATTCCCTGTGCATTTGTCACAGGTTTTTGTTTTATATAGTGTAAATGATTAATTTATTAAGTGAAACAATGTGAATATTATCAACCTCGCAAGTGATGTATTCCAACAGTATGCTACTTACATACTGTAACATAATCTATTTGTATTCCACCTTAAATCTGTGTGGTGTGAAATATATTTCATAACAGAAGATTAAGTTGCAGTAGTGGCCTAAATTTGGCCTCAAAAATAAAAATTCTCAGATCTTTTTGTTAAGTAAAAGTTATAATGCTAGTGGAGAAAACAAAAGAATGTTCCATCAAAAACACATCCTAATTTCAACGTTTCACTTAATTAAAAGTGAAAAAGTATTACCATAAAAAGTAACCATGCTGAATGGTCTGTTTTACAGGCTACCTCACTTTTTTTTTTTTACTGCATCTGGAAAATGCGGAGCTAATTTTAATTACTGCTGGTTTTAATAACTTTGTATATTGCTCTGTATCTTGCATATTTGCCCCATTTTAGCTTAACCTATGATAAAATAAATACTTTATTTAGTTACTGATTACATCTGGTATTAATCCAAATCTGCAAAGTAACTGAACGTTTAGTAAAATAGGTGTGTGTGTAGAAGTGAATCATTTACTGCTTGCAAATCAATGATGGTAAGATGATGTCATGGGGTAGGACTGGATAAGTCTGACTTCTTCCTGCTCCATTCAAGCATGTACTAGGTATAAGCAAACTGATATTGGATTGTGTGTAAAAATGTGTGTTGTTATATCAACTGTTTTATATGCTTGAAAGAATATATCAAAATTAAAATAAAATAAAATCAAACTTTCCTTACAGTAGTGGAGTAAATGTTTCCTATTATAGAGTACAGTAGTAGAACACAGAAACAATAACACAGCAGCCTATAGTACAGGTAGGTCTGCCTCCAAACGACTTCTGTGCAGCACATGAGTAATATACTGTACTTAGTTACTTTGCATCACTAACTGCTGTTCCACTTGCATGTGTTTTGGTCGCTGGATGAGTACTAGTCAAGTGATTAAAAAGGAATGCAAACCGTGTTTCGTTCCCAATAACTCGCTTATTTCATTTAGTTTCATTATAAGCCTTGCTGGCAGGCTATCACTGTCAGCTACTAACTAATTTCAGGGTGAAATTTCACGAACAAGACCGAGTATACATTAGATAGCAGGACTTCAGCATAAATATATTTGACACAAACGGAGCGTCAGTTTTAGTTATTCAAAAAGTCCACTAATAATTAGATTCTAAATGTTCCTGTTTCCTAAGATGTCCCCTTAAACTCGTTGCTAGGCAACAGATGACCGAGTTGGCGATTAGCTAATGTGAGAAACAGCTACAACTTTGTCACATTTTTCACACAAACACATCTGCGAGGCGAGTGTCACACCCCGTTTACAACCGTGACTCGCCCCGCAGCTCATGAGTGGAGCGCATAACACCGCTGACGCCCTCCAAATCTATTTCCGTGTTTTGCCATTTTCTCTGTATTGTGCCTTGGAGGGAGTCAATGTGTGGGCGGATACAAAGCGTGCGTGATTTACAAACCTTACTTGTTCCTACTACTTTGAGCGCCATCTTGTTTGTAATTCTTCTACGTAAGTGGCAGAGTTCCTACTGAGGGGGTATCCAATTACCCTTTTTCCAGACTGGGAACCTCTCCCTGCAGTAAACAGGCGCCTGTCGTACTTGCTTTATCGCCGCTCTCTTACAATTTAAGGCATACTATTTCTAAGTGGACAGAAATGAGCATCGAAACCCTTCTGGAAGCAGCTAAGTTTCTGGAATTGCAAGCCCAGCAACAACAGAAAGCACGTGGTAAGTTTTTTCTTTAATACTGAAAAGGCAGTTTTATGACACTGGCAACTAGGAAATATTAATTGTATCATAATCAACATTTCAGTGAAATGTCTCTGAAAGGTTTTTTGGAGTTAAAACCCAAAGGTTTATCAGCGCCATCCATGAACTAATGACATTTTTCTGCTTTAAAATATAACTGAGAGAAATGTTGTAGTAAGTCGGTGACATTTTGGTTTTGCTTTCATAATCGTCTTGGTGTGCAGACGCATTGCAGAATTTTGTTAGCTCTTGGTGTGGTTCACGTAACCGTTGGCTTGAGCCGAAGACAAGCCGTGGCTGTCCAAAATAGCTATTAAACATACATGGGCTGCTGCAGTACCAGAGTGACTGCACTGAAACCTGCTGCACAGACGGGACTGTTGATGTGCAAACAGCAGTATCTCTGTTAAAGTTCTCAAATCTTCTCTCTTTGCGCTTTCACTCGCCAGTATATTTATGAATGATGGCACGCTCTGCTACGAAACATTTAAAGCAAAAACTGGGGGGGAAAAAACCTAAACATTGGTCGGGGGGAGGGGGCAGAGAAAGGGCGGTGGCGCGCAGGGGACTGCCATGCTCCTTTTAAATGATGTCCTGACGTCGTCCTAGGCAACTGGCCTTCCCCTGGTACACGTGTTTCATTCCCACAGCTGAACATTTATCGCTGTTGTAGTGCCGTGGTACTGTGCACCTCTGGGTTTCACTTCGCTGCTCTAGCTCTTATGGGTTAAAAAACAAAACCCTTCTGGCCTTTGATACTCGTGGAGAGCTTTGACTGTCTGTCGATGACGTGGACATTTGGCCGCGCCTCCACATGTTACCAGTGGAGCGGACCCGCCCCATTCACCACGTGCGCGCAGGGCAACCCCTTCCAAAAGATTGTTTATGAAGAAGATGAGTCACTACATTCATGTAGTCTGGAGGCAACCTGCTCACCTCCCGCTCTACACAGAACAGAATTTGCAGTGTTTCTGATTCTGATTCTGATTCTAACCTGATGCTGGAGCCACTAGCCAAAACATATACAGGCAGTCGGTCCCAATGTCTTCGTGCTGTCTTAATAAGAAGGACAGAAGTGTACATCACGAGAATGCTCAAAAAATTCTTAGTGCCAATGCAGACTTAGGACTCCTTCCTAAAACGAGTAGTAATATAGAATTGAGAATAGAGCTATAGCTGCTACTAAAGTAATCTGTAAATGTCCTATGAATTTTAGTTGTAGTTACATTGACCGTAAAAGCAAACAGTATTACAGGACTCATTCTGATTTTGATTCTCATGTGAAACTATTTTAAGGAAGTGAAGGTGTAAACACTGCACCAAACTGAGTTGCATAGTAGCCGCAAGTTTGAGTCAGTTCAAGTCACATGGGCTAAACTACTTTTATAAAATGGTCTGAAATCAGCACAACACAAACTCTAATGATCTCCTTCCAGCTAAATATAAGTATTATGGCGCTATTACTTGTGTTGTGAACAGGCTCGGAGTGAGAGCTCCTGCTGTGTTCCTCTCCCAGCTCCCCCCTGCATGGTGCACTGGGAGAGCAGAGTACTCCGACCCCCCCACCCCTGCTACCGTAGCGCGGGTCACTTGTTTGCAGGAAAGTAGGGCAGCGTTTGTCTATGTACTGCTGCAGTTATATAATGTCTATAGAAAACCATCTTTTTATCTGCATTTCGTAGGTTTTTTTTCTCACGAAAGACACCCCAGTGTGTCAGCACCATGGCGCAAAATGTTAACATGCAACATCTTAATACACTTGGCTAGCACAGTTATCAGAACATGTTTTGATGTTTGTTTTTTTTATTTGAAGAAAAAATTCAGTATAAAACTGAAAAAGTGTCCAGTTTGACTAGTAAAATGTTCTCAAACAGTATTTAGACTTGGAAATTTCTCATTCCTTCACCTAAATTTTACAGTGGCAAATATGTGATGACACAGTCCATGCAAATAACAGGAATTAACTATTTCCTGGATTTACTTTTTATATGCTCTCCTGAATATCTCAGGCAAGGTCACAGTATAATTACTGTTGTCTATCATGCAGTAAATATAAGGGCATTTATATTTTGTGGTGGGGTACTATGACTTATAGTATGTGAAGTGTGTATGAGAGGAAATGTGGTATTTGTTATGTTAACTTGTATTGTTTCTTCCACAGAGGATGAATTTAAGGAGAAGCTGACAGAGCAGAGGCACTCGGATGTGAACTCTAACTCAATCCACATCAACCATGTTTCTAAAGCAGAGGAGCTCCGCACCGAGTGTCGCCCAGCCCCCATACCGCCCTCTCTGCCTCTGCCCTCCATACCCATTACTGTTATCCCCATCCCTGTGGTCACTTCCAACCCTACAGGCTCAGGCACTCTACCTGTCACCACGCTCTCCCCTCCAGCTGCTCTTCCGGTGGCCTCCCCAAGGATAGACCCTCACTCCCCCCAGGAGCAAAGTGCTGCAACTGTGCCGTGCTCTCCACATCTCAAACCTGACCACTTGACCTCTGTCTTGGCTGCCAACCACAGGCAACCGATACAGAACCACCATCACCCACAGCTCATCGTACAAACTAGCACCACTGAACTGCAGCAGCAGACACACCAACAGCTGGTCCAGTGCTATGCTGGTTCCATCGTCTCACCCGTGCAGCAACATGCCTTACTCTCACAGTCGGGTCCTGTGCTGCAGCAGGCTCCTCTGCAAAATGGCCCCATCAGCCGGGGCAGCCCTTCTGACGACAACAACCAGCTAGACAACAAGAAGAGGCCTGGAGCGTATGTCCAAACTGATGAACTTTCTTATTATAGCAGAATAGGGCTGCAGCTGAGTGTTGTTTTTAATGGATCTGTTATTTTTGTCAGTATTAAATGACACACCAACATAAAGTGTTTCAGTAAGGGTTTGGGCCATCATGTGCCAGCTTCAGTGCTCCTTTGCATTGATTCTCCACTTCTTTGAACTCCACTGGAGGGATGAACACTATTCTTCCAAAACATTTGGTGTTTTGATGATGGTAGTGGAGACGCTGTCTAACATGCTGCTCCAGAATCTCCCACATTTTCAACTGGGTTGAGACCTGGTGACTGTGAAGGCCACAGCATATACTTCATCATTTTCATACTTATCAAACCATTCAGTGACCCCTTATGTCCTATGGATGAGGGCACTGTCATCCTGGAAGAGACCACTCATTTATTCTGGTTCTTCCTTTAGCCACCCGTCAGTAACAGCCTTTAAAATGTCAAAAAGAATGACTAGAAATCTAGAAGACATGTAGCCCCACAAGCAAAACTTGATCATTTGTGCAGCTGTTACATTTTTGGTATTTCAGCACTAAAATGATTATCCAGTCAATTTTTAAGCACTAAACTAAGAACATCTTATTGAGGTTTGGTTGTTCAGCAGACGTGATAAAATCTACTTTGAACCAGACATCAGTGCCAGACAACATCACAAAGCTGTCTGCATTCTTCTTTGGTTGATTTATCATGCCAGCCTTTTGAACGCAACTTCTTACTGTGCTCTCATCTGTGCTTTTACAGAGTGGGCACAAGAGAAGTGCATAACAAGCTTGAGAAAAACAGGTGGGTGTGAAAGTGAGATCTGAGGTTATTGCTGCTGCACTTATTTTCCCCCTAAAACCTTCTATTCTATAGATTAGAACTGAATGATGCCTTTTGTTAATATGTATCACTTTAAAGTTTCACTCTAGAGACATTTTAATATTTTTATCTGCGTATAAAAATACTATGCTACAAACAATATATAGTCTAACACATTTGTTCCTCAAGAAAAGTTCAGTCACTCTCTGAAATAGGCCTTGACATTGTGCATTCCAGGATCTATGAATATTCATACATGTGGATGTGCTCACAGCACCTCACCGCCACTTCCCCCACATAGACTGGTGAACTTGCTGTGTCAGGATGAGATGCAGGAGTAAAAACTGAAGAGATGTAGATAAAGATCTCTTTATTTTTTCTTGAGGCCAAGTTAACCAGTAGCACGAGGTTAACTGTTAGCTTTCACAGTGAGCCAAATTTAGCTTAAGATAATGCTAGTGGTTAAACCCGGGCAACTAATTTCAAATCTTGTACCAGCTCATAACATTTAATAGCATGTTAATAGCTCTTCATTGTTTAAGTTGATCCAAAAGTGAATCCAGTAACGTTAACGTTATGTTAACAGAAGACTGGGAGCTTGAGTTATTAGCACCTGGCTAACCACAGCACTCTGGCTGCTACCAGAAGCCAAAACCATAGCTAACCAGAACGTGTCTCACACCATGTCAGTGTTAGCTAAATAGTAATTATATAAATAGTGTAAAGAAGCTCCAGGGTCCGAAAGCTGCACACTCTGGCATATTTATCTCAACATTCACTTTAGCAAACACACACCTATCACTCAAAAGTTAGCTCTGGATAATCCCAGGTCAGAGATATCGGGTTTCAGCAAGAAACGTCAAACTCTAAATTTGCCTAGTGAGCTGTGATTGGCTTTCAGATTTGTGTCGGCACAAATTTGGTTTGCCTTCAAACGTTTGAAATCTTTCTAGGCAGTGGACTGAGACTACCCCCTTCAGCAGAATAATGTGAAAGCACCCTGTTAGTGACAAACTGCACATATACCAGTCAGTACAGTAGAAGTCTGACATTTTTGGGCATAAAAACATGTTCTTTTATGTTTATGAGTTTAGGGGGTCTTTATTTTAATGCTAAGCTTTAACTTGTATTGTCACCAACACCAGCTGAACATTTTGTTGTGTACTTTTGTTAGTAAAATAAAGCCACTGGCTGTACTGTTTCTGCTGTCTCAAGTTCTCTCTGCTGTCTCTGTTTGTCAGACGAGCGCACCTGAAGGAGTGTTTTGAAACCCTGAAAAAGAACATCCCCAACATTGATGAGAAGAAGACTTCCAATTTGAGCGTGCTAAGAAGTGCGCTGAGATACATTCAGGTAAGCTTGCGGCGGCATCTGTTTAATAAATGTGTAAACTTAGTGAGTGATTAAAAGGTAGCTGGGTGTCTGGTAGAGCAGGCTATTGTAAGGTCATACAGTATTTTACCAAAAAGATGCATCAGGACTTTTCATCATAATTTGAAAGGTTCAGGGTTTTTCCCCCCCCCCACTTTGGACAAGAGGTGAGACAGTGCTTACACCGTTCGACTCGCGTTTTTATTGTCATCTAGAGTGTGGTACAAGTTCTTGGTGCTAATCAACATAACTGTACCAGACATTAAACCTGTTTCAGTGATCTATTGTATGCATGTGTAAACAAATAATTCTGATTGGCTTAGCAGGTTTTCAGTCTGTGTGTTGCATCATTCAGAATGTATTCTGCAAAGATTTACTTGTTTGTATTGTTTATTGCCACAACTACTGCTGAGCAGTGGTTCCTCCATTATTCAGAAGCCACAGTGCGATATGAGCTGGAGTGTTAGCAAAAGGAGGAGGGACATTCATTTATTTATTGTAGTATAAGCATTACTAAAATTGCCAGTTCTAAATCTGAAGCAGTATGGGTGTTTGTTTTTGATTAATTGATTATCGGCGCAGTCTGTCAGACCATTAAATGTTTAAGCGGCTAATAGTTGCAGCTCTAGTTATTTAGACAATTTCGCTGAATGTCCCTGAGTGTTGACAATTTCTGGCACCACTGCTGATTTGAAAGACCAGGTAGAAGATGAGTAGACACTGGATTAATTCCCAAACTGTGTAGCTCCTGTCTGCCCCTAATAAGCATTTACTACCAGTAGTCGGGTCACAGAGAGGCTGAGAGCTGAATTCAATTGTTTTATAAGATGTTTCTAGATGGTTCTTTTGATTTTAGTCCAGTTCTGCTTTTTCTACCATTTCCTCTCATTTGTATGTCTGTATTTAGATCCTTTAGTGAAGGATCTCTGATGTTTCCTCATTTGTAAGATTTGGTTATGAGAATGTCTTTAATGTTGGGGAAGGTGTGCCATTTTCCACAAATGACACTGTGTCTGAGTCAGGCACTGTGACAGTATCGTGGTCATAAACAGCTGATGCAAAGGTGCCGCACTGGCCTAGTTAACTCTTTCATACTGGGGCTGTGCTGCTGAATGTGCCAGTGTTTATCTTGGCTCATTTATATTCTTCTATTGATTGATAGATCCTATAGGGTGACAGATTTACATCTGAGATGCACAAATTCATCCAAAGGCTTAGGTTGGCATTGGGTGTTGCAGTTTAGCAATGCCTTTTATATTTTTGTCTGCATTTGTGCTGTAATTATTATAATTACAGGATCCAAGTACACACTACTTTTTATGCCTCTGTGCCGGCGATAGTCGCAGTGGAGGCATTATGTTTTAGGTTGTCTGTCTGTACATCCATTCAATTCATGTGAATGCTATATCTCAGGAAAGCCTTGGGTAAATTTGGCACGAGTGTCCACTTGAACTCAAGGATGCTTATTTTATTGTATTTGTATTTTTGTAGTTATACCTGTGGTTTGGCTTACTAATAAGGTACTTGCATGGTTAATTTGTGCGGTTGTTCTAAGTGCTCACTCATAGCTCTGCTAATGAGCTTTTATATCCTCAGTGAGAAGACTCAGCCCTGCAGTTGTTCATATCCCTTATTATATAACTGTGGTGCAGATTTAAGTGTGTAAATTTTGCAGAGGACACTGCTGCTGATTTGATGCTCTAAGTAGCAGCAGTCCTGGTTATTCCTCTCTGTGCATGGATACTGAGGGGAAACTAGGACAGCGTGGGTGCAGAGCTCGTCACCCAATCTTCCTTCCTCTGCTCCCCGCCCCCTCTGTGTGATTAAGCAACATGGTGTGCAGTGTATTGTGTTTGAATGGCAGACTGACCTGCCTCTTTTCCTCATATGAACAGCTGAACTGGACAGTCGGTATATTTAAAGCAAATGCATTGAGGGGAAAAAATGTAGAGCTCATACATTTTTCTGCAGAAATGTCCAAAAAGATAGCTTTCCAACAAATGTAAATTCTAAGCAGTGAGAGTGTTTAGTTTCCTGTACGTACTGTAGATAACCTGCAACAGTTTATTGTAGATGGGAACAATTTAGGTGCTTGTACATGACAAGGTGCCAGGCAGTTTTGTTTTGCAGAGGTGGAGTAAAACGTGGGAACTTCAGGTGATGGGAAGGAAAAAAAAAAACATATACACCGATATCTCAACATGGGTGGAACAGCTGCATGCATGTCCTGCCTGCTTATACCTCCCTCCCTGAATGCTTCCTCCTTCCTCCCTCTGGGCTGGCAGCAAAGAAGCAGCCTGCACACTAAAACCCCGGGCTTGTCAGAGGGTTAAATAAGCGGTTTTACGCTCATCATCACATATCCATGCATTTATCTTGCCTGTTATCTCTAGTGGTAATTTGGAAATGAGTACAGGTGTAGTAGTGGCCGGTGTGGCTTGTTTTATCAGTTTTCCACAGAAGGTCACTGCATTGGCTAACAGGCAACGTAGTTCAACTTCTTCAGTTCACTTCAAGCGTAAATTACCCGGCATCTATGACCAGAAACCTTGCATGCATGCATATACTTTGGCTTTGATTGTGTGTGTGTGTGTGTTCGTGTTAACTGAGCTATACACCGCCTTGGGTTTTTCCCATCTTGTTCCTAAATGATTTCCCCTGAGCCTGTAATGGTGCTGCGAAAGCCGAGGCTGTAAAATAAGCCCAGATGCGTTAAAGCCCATCCTCTTTACTCCCCCTCCCTGTGTTCTGCCTCTCTGAGCTTTTAAGGCCACATGAGTAGCAAGCACATGGCTAGCCTGAGATGTGTGACGTCACCCCCACCCCCCAGTGTTTGGCCCCTGCCCAGCAGTGCAACAGGCAGGACTTGCTGTATCACCAGGCTTAGCTGCCAGCAGCAGGGAGGGAATATGGAGCGGTAAACACGAGGCTCAGTTTACTCCACTTGCACTTCATTTCCCCAAATCCCAGTTTGAAATGTTTGTGTATTTTAAGCACTGTCACTTAATGACATTTCACTGGAATTTTTCCTTTGAGACATTGCCTTGAAACATAGCTACACTCATTGCTTTGCCATTTTCATATTTATTCAGCTTTGAACATTAAATATAATCAACCTTCCTTGGCAGTCAGTCACTGTCTCTTAAAATTTCATCATTTTTGAAGGTTTCATCTTAGTCTTTGTGAAAGTGTCAGTGATATTTGTTCTCTTCTTTTATGATTTTCAGTTTCAACTATATTCGAACGAAACAGCTGGTAAATTTGTTGTGGCACATTTCTGGAGGAAAATGATTTTCAGAGGAAAGACGAATCATCAACTGGATTATGTCTTGCTTAGCTGTTTTTTGCAGTATGAACACACAGTACCACAATACAGCTTGATTAAGTATAGCGAGATCTGTTGTCTGTCACAGTTCTCAGAGCAGCTTAACAGTATTCTTTGACTGTACTGTAGCATGGTCAGTTAGTTCTTAGCCAAGATGAAGTAATTAGGCCAGTTATGACTAGCACAAGGTTGAACAGAAGGAACGACGTGCAAAAATAGGCTTGTTACCCCATAGACAAGCCTTTTATTGTTGAAGCTTGGCACCACATCAAGTTCTGTTCCAGCCTGAAAGCACAGTCAGACGAGGGTTTACGGCTGCTACACTGTCACAAGACCAATGTGCAGGAGCCTGATCAGTTAGTCAGCCAGACAAAGCAGCATGTCTGCAACGTGGCCGTCTGAGCTTCTGGTCCTTTAAGAAAACCCAGCCTTGTACAGTCTATCCTGGCTGCTGCAGAAGTGAGTCAGTGAGTACAGCTCGCATTGCTCTTCTCTGCCACCCTCCCTCTCCTGTTCTCTGTGGGGCCATGTGCTCAGCCCTCGCATTGCTTGCAACAGAGCTTGAGCAGTGTTTACTTTATAGACACGCACACAGGCTCAATGCAGCACATCCCTGTACTGATCTAGAGTTTCACTCACAAACAAGGCTGAGGTAGGGCCTTGTCTCTATGGAGGAGGAGGGAAGAGGCTCAGGGGGTGTGACCATGTGCAAAGAAACAAAGGTGCTTGGCACCCTGTGTCCTACCAAACTGGTCATGTGATTAACGGGGAGTCATGTGGGGTCAATCTGCTACAGACTTGGTTATCAGGTTTACATGACTAATCTTCGACTAGCTGTTTCTAAGCTTGGTGTTGGCTCTGACCAGCACTGTAGTAGGGACAGTTCAGTGGGTCTCAGTGTTTGTTGAGCACTTCTCCCTTCTCTCAATCTCTCTCTCTGAGTCATAGCTTGTGGTATGTACAGTTGTGGCACCACTTACATATGACTGCCTGCTAACACATGAGGGTAAAAGGGAGGCAGCCAGCCCATTTTTGTTCTGTGTCACACATTGTGTACACTCTTCATACCATTTCATTCTGCCCTGTTGACAATCCGTTTGAGATAGGGTAATAGGTGCTTCGTGTGTGTCAGAAACTCTCCATGCATGCAAATGATTAAACTAAGTCACTTTTGGCTTTTCCCAGTTAGGGGTCGCCACAGCGAATCGTCACACTGACGACTCGCATGTTGACATTTGGCATGTGTTTTATGCCAGATGCCCTTCCTGACGCAACCCTGATTTGAACCCGGGCCGCAGCGGCGAGAGCACTGCTCCTTAACCACTAGCCTACCAGGGATGGCTAGGGTTTTTCATAATTATGCACAGATGAGGTTTTAAAATAAGCTTTTATGATGAAACACCGGCAGGGGAAACTAAATGACACCGTTAGCGCATGAAGGTGTTTTAGGGTACTAAGGAAACATTGAGGTTTTCATCTGTTTCAGTGACAACCAGAGATGGGGAGGCAGGTCAGTACATCATACATTGAGACCAAGGAGGATGGCTATCCCCAGCACTTGTGTTTGACATATAGCTGTCAGCTGGTCACCAGTTACACTGTTAATGATAACATGTTATTCACTGATCAGTGGAGTATATGATTTGTCCTGTTCATTAAGCTATAAAGTTATAATATTAGCTTTCCATGTTTCATAAGACAGTTAGTGTTGAGGATGCTTCACTGCAGGGTATTAATATGAAGCAGGCAGCAGTGTTGGTCTGTATTTGGAAATAGGCACAAGAGCTTAACTAATCAATCTGTTGGGCTGATACTAGCTTGTATCTATGTATTGAGGTTTATCCACTACATCACCAAGTCACGTGAAAGTATATCTGTATGTATTTTCTGTGGCATATGAGTTTTTGCTCAAAAGACTGAGTGGTGACTTTTCTGACAATCGTGGCAGTTTATCACAGCAGCAATCCATATGCGTCTGCTCTCTTAGCAGGGAAGAGATGGAATGATAACACTATCCTTGGTTGTGCTTGACTGCTGTGACGGCCAACAGCTACACAGTATCTACCTTTTTTTTTTTTTTTTTTTTGTAGATTGTGAGGAAGAGGTCACGTTAAGGCACTTGATCAGCCACAAGCAGCGAGCGAGCACTCAAACTCGTCTATGTTCACATTTATATAACACACCAAAGCCTTGTCTAGCTAAGCTAAGGTTAGCCCTAAACAATACATTCATGCTAAATATCCATCTTTATGGTACGACATGATGGTTGGTGTATGATTGCCATGTGATTATACTCACTGTAAACTTTGTACTACTACCTAAGCACGCATAGCTACTAATTCTCACATCAATATTACGACTGACGAATGTAAAGTTAATCGGTGTTAGTGCTAGTCAACTAGCTTGATCTGTTATTAATGCAGTATTGATGTGACATTAGTAGAAAAATCAGTTCTTTT